AAATGAAAGTGGGCGCGTGAAATGTTACAAAATGAAAACTCTCCTTACATCCTGAACGTCTTCAAGGGTTTTTCCGACTAGGAGACGCTGAAGTCCCGTAGACTGAAGCCTCTTCTCTAGAAATGCAGCAATCTGACTGACGGCGGGAAGTGCGTGTGGATCTGGAGAGAGGTAAGGGGGAGAGCGAAGAATGGTATAAACAGTGTGAGCGTTAAATGCGGCAGATGCATGTGGGGAGTGCGCTTACCCTGGCAATAGCGCAGGCTGGCTTTGAGAGTGAGCAGCTCTGTGGGGAGGAATGTATGCTGATCCGGATCAGTGGCATCAAGATGGGCCAGCGGTCGACAGAGCAGGTTCACTTCAATGAGGCCAAGTAGTGTGCGCAGGACGTACCTCCGTTCAGCACGAGATGTGCAGGTCAGTTGGCTAGGCAAAAACCTGGAATGACAAGATGCAAATCGGGGTAAAGATGGCTTTATGGCAGCACCCGCCACTTACTTCACTTCACACGACTGCCTACTTATTTAATATTCGTAGGCATTATTATTTCAATACTTCAGCGTCGGCTGCTTTACTCACTATAAGTGGCAATGAGTTAACATGTTTGGGCGATCCTAAAATCATGACTCAAACAGGCAGGTGCACTAGAATGTCCAAAAACACACCATTTAGGTAAATGCATTTAAGAAATATCTTATTTTCAAGTTTTTGGTAAACACGTAGAAGAAAATCGATATTTATAGACAATCGAGTAAAAAACAAAGAAAACTGTAAATTTGTTCAGCAGGATCTCAATAAAGATCGGAACCTCGTAGTAATCACTCTCTCGCAACAATTACAAAAATGTTACGGAAAGAAATTCCTCTCAATATACACAAAATTGTAGGTTTACGATTACACCTAACAAATCCATTAAAATCAAACCACAGTCAAGACTCCTCAAATATCCAGAGCAGTACGTACACAACTATTCCTCCCTAACACTTCATTCAACTTCACTTGAAGTATCATCACTGGTCCTAAATTCTGCATGCCTGGTCGAAAGGTTAATCAGTTAGAGTTAGAAACCCAGTTCTAGAATCTCTATAATCAAACTTACGACCTCAAGCCGATCTCCACAGATAGTGTCCAGCACTTTAAATTTAAACTGGTGAAATGTTGTTGCCAGTGCTTGAGCAAGAGACTAACAAATCGGAAGATCCAAGTGGCGCATAAACCAACGACTACACTACGAAATCAGTTTGTACACCCTAAGGATATGGTTGGCTGCACTACGAAATCTGCTTGTACATCCTAAGGATAGCGTTGGCTATCTGGACAACAAGAAGTCGTTAAAAAAACTCCTTGTAGCGGTTGTAATGCAGTTTATTGTGCACAGACGAGAAAATCGGCCTCCACATGTTTACATGGATACCAACAAGCAGTTGAGAGGCGAGACCCCTTGCCCCAAGTTGCCACGCACACAATAGAAACTGGACACAAGTTTGCAAGGAAAAATTTCCTTATTGGCATTAAATTAGATGACTCGTGCATTAATCGGCACTTCGAAATGGATGCTATGTACACGAATCTCAGAGAAGCATGGAAAGGGCGGAAGATAATCCGGACTCGATGCCAACCAACAGAAACTACTGTTGGCCAAAATGATTAAGGCTAAGAATTGGTACATGCACGTACAGGCCGCACTGTAGCTTGCCACCTACTGACTTTAGCAAGTATGATTACTATAACTAGCACTTCTAGCATAGGCACAGCACTTTTAACAAACGTATCCTGGAAAATGGCACATGTCACTTTGTTCAGACTTAAATGCATGATAGACCTTCAACTCTTAATACATATACCTTTGTTTAACATTGAGCTTACTAATATCCCCTTATAGGATAAGACTGCACACTAGTTTAAAATGTCATACATTTACGTACAATTTTTAGCAAGTATGATTACTAGAACTAGCAGTTCTAGTATAGACACAACACTTCTAACAGTACTTCTAACATTACTCTGTCGGCAAGTGGACAAGGCACCGCTAACCGTTCATATAAAGTTAGCTGCAAGTAACCCCTTGTAAGTTAGTAGTTTGGACTAATGTAGCTTAACTAGCTAGGACAGATTAATCAGCTTAGAAGCAAATTGAAAGCGAGGCTTGCTGTCACGCTGGATTCAAAATAGGTTGAAAAACTAGTAGCTATTTTCTGCCAACGGCTAACTGTGCCGTACTGAGTTCACAATGTCTACTCACCAACACAATAACGGTTATTAATAATTTATTGATAAAAAGTAGATTTCGAACAAATGTGTACAGTAAATATTGCTTGTTCACGACCTGTTCTCCACTACTTGCATCAAAACGGCGGCTTGGATCTAACATGCGTGAGTCTCATAAGTGCCACAGTAAGAAGGAAACGTTGCAGCCACATTGTTATTTCTA